TAAGTTGTTTCTTTAGTTTTTTGAAGCTGAGCATTGACAACATTTTAGTCCTATGTATCTGACAAAAGCCCCTTCTTCCTTTCATCTGCAAACAGAAATTCCTCTTGCTTTTTCATTCAAGAAAGGCTTTCCTCTCTTTGCAACTCTTCCATAAAAATCATCAAATGGAATGCATCATTAATGGCTTTCCTGTCAATAGATTCCTCCTCCTTACCGGGTTGATCTTTGCAGCTCTTGCATAGTTCCATTAGCCTCTTGGTTGCTTCTCTGGGTGATGCTCTTGTTCTTTACCCTGTCAGTCTAGAAGGCTGACCATGTCTTGTAAGCTCTTTCTAGAGTGGTTCCAGCTGTGCTTTAAGCTTCTCTACGTCTTTCCCTCAAACTGCTGTGTGTCTTGTTCAATTCAATTTAGTTTATTTATATAGCACCAATTCACAATACATGTCATCTCGAGGCACTTTACAATTCAACCAGATCATACAGTTAAATTGATTCAAAGTTTTCTATCTAAGGAAAACCAGTCGAAAACCATCGACTCATTGACTCGATGCAATCCCTGTTCTTAACAATGTTGTTTCCTCACAAGATACACATGCTTGTTTTGTTTTTTCTTTTTTGTAAAATAGAGTGCTGAATACTCTCTCATTACCCTAGAAACCAGAGTGCATTTTACCCTGTAAGTGTGCAACAGAGGCCATCTTGCTGGTGAAATAATAGAAAACGCTTTGCGGTGAACAAGTGCTCAGGTGGCTGTGGTGGCAAAGCAGCATCTATATTGATGCTTAGACCAAAGAAAGTTTCATCACACCACCCTGATCAGTACTTTTCTTGTCTTTGTCTGCTTTGACTGTTGTGTATCAACTTGTTTGCAACTAAAATCAATGAATCCTCATCGAAAGACAACAAAGTCTTGAAATTGACTGCTAGGTGATCCAACTGTGCCCCTCATCAAAAGCAGTTGCAGATCTAAGTGAATAGAAATGCTCACACAAACCCTCTGAACTATGTGATCAATACTAGACTCCTCCTTTTATAATGATAATTATATTAAACAAGTTTTCAGTGTATTTATCTGTGTCCAAGCACCTCCTTATTCATTGACTCATTTCAGCTTTTTTCGTCTAGCTTGCACATGATGTAGACCCGAATTAAGCCTTGATTGGATTTTTACTGCAGAAATGATTGTTTGACCAAAGCCAACCTTGAAGTCCCGACGGGAAGCGTGTTCATTAAGTCTAACATTGATCTGGGCCTTTTTTCCCACTCCTGTGCTGAAGAAAAGTCTCTTATTTGAGCCCAAACAGCATTTCCTTCAGCCCCCCTGTGGCATCAAACATTTCAAGCAAGTCAACTTGCACTTAAGTTACTATTGTAAAGCCCTAAAGACTTTCTGATGTTTCTAAACCACATTCGGTTGTCCTCCTACACAAACCTCTTCTGAGTACTGGATTTTTTACACCTCTCTTATTTGCTTTTTTTTTAGTCACTTCTTTTAATCTGTTTTCTGCCCACACACATCAAACGGTGCCCTATTCTCCTCTCCTTTCTTCGTGTTTCTTATTTCTGATGTACTCTTTGTCATCACTAGGTACTTATTTCTAAATTTTGGATTTTTTTCTCGCAAAGCGAGAAAATCAAAGAAAGAGCAGGTCATTTTTAACACTTTTTTTTTTCAATCTCTCTCTGATCCCTCTCCAGTCATCCAGCTCTTCTCAGGAGCGTCTGCACCAGCTGCCCTTTCAGCCAACCATGGATGAGTTGCACTTTCTGTCTAAGCACTTTGGCAGCACAGAGAGCATCACAGACGATGACGGGGGGCGACGTTCGCCACATGTGCGACCTCGCTCCAGAAGCCTCAGGTAAGATGGCTGCAGGTCAAAGGAAACATTTTAAAGTTGGTTTGAGATACATGATTAAAACTTCTCAGTTAATATGCATGACCAACCTGTGTCCTGATGAAAGTAAATATTTTCTCAGTCATATTTTTCATCAGAAGCTTTTGGTCAAGATGACATATCGTTCTCTTCGGGACTTTTTCTCTATTTTACATTAGAGTTTGTGTTGCTTTCTTAGCTAAATACATGCATGGTTATTGCAGCTGCTTAACTGAGCAGCAGACATGAAGGAAGGAAGGAAGGCTTCCTTAAAGAATGAAGCCTGACGTTTTTAATATTTCTTGACTTTATTTGTGGGGACAAAAAAAAAAAAATATGTTAAGGAATAAAGTAGGGATACACAATATAATCGACCCCCTATCGGTATTGGCCTGTATCGGCCTTAAAACTGAATATCGGACATCGGCCACCCCACCGATATATTTAACCCGATAGTTGATCAGCTTCTGAGTTTCTAAAGTCTAAAAAAAAATAAAATGCTACTTCTTCTTCTTCCTCAAAAACTTCTTTTTTACAGACTTAAAAACTTCTAAAGACTATTGAAATATTGCTATATGTCATCGTTATGCTACGAAATCCCCCAAAAATTCACAAAATGTT